GGGTAAGCTGGTGAAAACTAAATAAATAGCCATATTTCAAATATACTTGATTCAAATGGAGAAGCAGTTGCAGTGAGTCCTGCTCAGGTCTGAACTTTAAACCAATCTGAAGTTCTTTACTCTCGCTCACTTCAAAATGTCGTTGTATACTGTAGGCGTTGTCAAAACACTGTCTAGGTTCAGAAAGTGGTGGCAAAGCAACCTTTAGAGGCCTAACTGAAGCCTGACAGCTCAGCTCTTGTTAAGGTAATAAAAAAAAAACAGAAACTTAAAATGATCCACAATTACATAAATAATTGTTAAGCTTTCAAAGATAATCTGTCTTTTTCCATTGGCTCTAGTGTGGATATTTCAGTTTTTCCTCAATACACCTTGCACGTTCGCCCTGTGTCTCTTTATCAGTTTTAAGTGATGTCACCGGCTCATTCAAACTTACTCCACAAGTCAGCCAAAGTGCATCCCTCCAGATATCCACAACTTGCTGTAGAAGCAACTTGTACCATATGTCAATAAAGGACTACCATTTCCTAAACTGTTCTCCAAAAACACATATATCTCTTCAGCCAAGAAAGACGAAGGTGGTCTGAGAAGAAGCATAAACTAATTCTTGTTTCTTAGTCTTTGTATTTGTTCTTCTTTGCTTGATTAATCATTTATACACTTTATCACATAAATTATTTAGTATTGGATTTAATTCCTAATGATTATCTGTTATATATAAATTCTGAATAAAAGGTAATACACAAGACTGATCCCAAATAAGCAGAATAATGAGAAACATATCTTGACTTAATTGCACATATACAGGATAATTTTTTAACATTATAGTTAACATTAATTAATCATTATCACTTACCTTTCTTTACATATAACAAATAACAAAAGTTGAGCTTTTATAGATGACAAAAGAAAAATGAGCAAATTTCTTTTAGATTGAGGCAGGTATTCAGTTTTCTATAGACTGTAGGCCGAGAGATGCACAAACAATCCTAGTTGAATGGAGGACAAAGCTTTTCACAAGAACATCCCTCCCACACACATAGAGACACAACTAAACACACACACGGACTGAGCTTGCAATGTGATTGCACTATCTTCAATCAGCACCATTGTGTTGCAAAAATACAGGTATGTGCACTGAACACAAAGGTCTGAATTGCAATATACTGTCATTGCTTTCGCTTGTCAAAAATAAGAGCTTCTCAGCAAGACTGAGCTCTGGTTTTAATCATTGTCTCAGATTGATTATGCCTGCCCAAAAGTGCACAGTTTGCACTGAAAACATCAATGTGAATATTTGACAAATGACTCTTCTCTCTACATATATTACCTTGTGTTGAAGACGATACTGTGTGGGCCTACAACAAGTATCAACTGGTAAGGTAATACTTAAGGAAGAACATTTGTCTGTAGGTGCAGGTGTCCATTCTCGGAGATGGTCAATTTTAATAGGGTGCAATGATTAAGCAACAACCCTAAGGATTTAAAAAAAAAATGCTCAGGGTTGTTCTGGTTAAACGCTTAACTAAATAAAAAATTGTATCTACCATGTAGGATCAATAAAAAAACAAACAAACAACAAAGTTGGAGATTTTTCTAATAGCTGTTGCTTACAGTAGCAAATCCTAGAAGACGACTTTTTGTAGTCACCAATAAACTGGCATTATTCTGGCTGCTAATTTTTCTGGTCTTTGTAGCAAAGTTCTTAGTTTATTAATTTCAGTATCTTAAGTTTAGTCTTTATATTTCAAACTATGTTATAGAAATCTTATCTTAATCTGCTTTATCAATTTATATACCTAGTTTGGTGTATGTTTGAGGTCATTCTTTAACGGTTAAACTTTTGATTAACTGTGTTTAGAATTTTGTCCAAATTTTGAAATTAGTTCACCTCTTTCCTCTCATACACTATGCAACGCACCTATACCTATGATAGCAAAGCTGTCAGGGGCAGTCCTGATTAGATAAATGTCACTTGTATTACCTTTTCTTTTCACTTCCTGTTTTATTTTGTATTCGTTTCCTCTCTCGTTTTAGGCAGCTTCACTTCCTGAGTTCCTTCCTGTAATCAGGATCTGCCACAGCCTAATGCCATTCACCCGGTGTATGTGCTCCTCTTTTATTTATTAGACTATTTAGTTCCCACTCTTGCAGCTTCCCTTTGCCAGTTCGTCTTGGTTCTTAGAGCTTATCGTTCCAGCCTTTTTGCCTGTTAGACTTTAGCTTTCTAGTGTTTTGACCCCAGCTCTCATTTGGACCTATCTTTGCCTCCGTTTTTGATACCTCTGTTTCTGCTGGATTTTTTGGTGTTCAACCTGGGACTGTATTAAAGGAACTTTGAGTTTGAATCCACTGTGTCAGGTCTTGCATTTGAGTCCTTTGTTCCTGAGCTGTACAACAAAAGCAGCCTCACAACATAAGGCTACCCCTATCATTGTTGATAGCCTTAAACATCAATACCCTCTCATTTCTTGTCAATGTGGCCAATAGCTCAATCTTTATTTCATCTCACCATAAAATCTTTTTCTAATCGACATTTATAGTGGCTTGAAAGTTAGGGGAGCTGAAAATATCAGTGTTTGTGTCCACTTTGGAGCAAAGATGTATTTATTTCTCCTTGGCAATATAAAACTCAATTCTGGTCAGTGAAATGAATCTATCAAATTCCAAGTTCCATTTTTATATTTTTTTCTGGAACTTCCTAACAAACCTTGTTTCTTCTAATGGTGACAGTTTGGGGAAGGTAGTAGGACTGAGGTGTTGGCTGTTTTTTATTTTTTTATGTTTTTTTCTTCTGGATGATAATTCAGAAAAGCTCTACATAATTTCGGATTAGGCAAATTAGACTTCTGAAATAGGCTGCCCTGAAATCCTCAATCTTAAAACAATGTAGTATCTGTGGACAAGTTGGTCAATATTTGTTGTTTTTCTTATTCTCATCACTATCTGGCCAATTGCTTTCTTCATCTGTTGATTTTTGGTGACCCCTCTTTGGTGGATAATCCAGGTCTAGTTAAAATACCCGTCTAGTTTTCTTACATCCTGATTAACTTACCAGAAGATGAGCCTACAGTCTGCGTTGGGGAGCAGGAAATGCAATGGATTGGAGCCAAACTCTTTACTTGCATTTTACTTTCTGGATCTTAACCACCTCTGGCCCAGTTACAGGATGTATTTGGATCTGCTTCTGCTGACAGGCAATGTTGTCAACACAGGCTTAACAATCGAGTGAAAGGCAGGGTTTACCTAGACATCACTGGGGGTATGTATGTATGTATCTATCCTGCCTATATGTGCCGTTTTGAAGCAGTATAGAACAGAGAAAAAATACACCAAATTCAAATCTGTCCATCCAGTTCTCATTAAAAAAACAAAATTAACCAGAAACATGCTCACAATGACTTCAAGACCACATTGGGTTTGTTTCTTCTTCCTCCAAGTTCTGATTCGGGTGGGAATTGTGCGTGGGAAGACCCAACAAAATACTGACAAGAGAACAAAATATTTTTCCCATAAAAGAGCAAAGCTTTTGTAGAATCTGTATTACTATGAAGACTTAAAAGAGCATTTAAAACAAATCTCTGTACTGGTGACGGCTGTGTCTCTGAGATGAGTGGCTTTAAAGTTACCAAAGACTTTGCAGAAGAAACTAAATACTGCTGAGATGACAAAGAATGATAGTGGAGCACAACAAAGACTAACATACTGTATTATTTATTTAGGCTTGTGCTTCTGGTGAGTGAAGAATCTTGAAATTCTTTCTAAAAGAAAATGAAACACTGCTGAATAAGCAAATCTCATGCAGCATGTAGGTGTTTCAAAGTCCTTTGCAGTGTATGTGCATAGGGGTTGTTTGCTATGGAAAATAAAACCAACTGCATGTAGACAATATGCAAGTGCCTAAGAGCACAATACCAAAATACTACAGGGAAATGAATGCCTTATCTATAAAATTAGTAATTGATATTCTTTGCTCTGCTACTGGTACAGTAACAAAAAATCTCAGCATTCACAAACAACAAAAAAATGCTAATGCTTTCTCACTTTCTCTTACTCTCCAGAGGAATAACTTTGGGTTTCCAGTAAATAGGCACTCTTTCCTAAGGCCATGATGTAGATTTAGCTTTGCATACACACACTCACACTCCTTTTCTTGTCTATAATTAGCAAGGACCATGTGTTTACTTCCATTAACTTGCATTGATTTTTCAGTAATTTTAAACCTTTTTTATAGCCTACACAAAACCGCTAGTCCTAACCATTACCTAGGAATGCTGAGCATAAATCTAAACTTTACTTTACTCAATTCACACCTCCTTTGCCCTAACATGCTAGTCAAAAAAGGAAGTGAGGACCAGCTAAATATGCTCACTTTGCTACAAATGGTCCCAAATTTGAAGATGAAATTGGAAAAATGGTCCTTAGTTTGAAGCAGTAACTGGGACACACTCTCAGACATACACAGCAACAAGCAATAGAACAATAGTGTTAGAGTCAAGACGACACTGACCATTACCAAAGAGTACCGAGACTGAGACAAGGCCAAGACCTTTACAGGCCGAGACCTTCAGACAAGGCCAAGACCTTCAGAGGCTGAGACCAAGACAAGGCCAAGACTTTTAGAGACAGGGGTGGGCAATCTCAGTTTTGGAGGCCTAGTATCCTGTAACTTTTAGATCCATCCTTAGTCCAACACACCTTAATCAAGTGGCTGAGTTTTCTCCTCAGTATGCAGGCAGTCCCTCCAGAGTCCTCTCAATCATCTAATTACTGAATTCAGGTGTGTTGAACCAAAGGCACCTTTTAAAGTTACAAAACACCGGCCCTCAAGAACTGCAATTGCCCACCCCTGTTCTATTTTCTTGGTCTCGGTTGTTGTTGTCTTGACTACAACACTACTGAACAACATATAAACACACATTATTTAAACAGGCTTTAGCTTGCCCCCATAATACAAAAACACAATTACAAAAGGAAAGGGAATGAAACTGAGTGCTCACCAAGGGTTTGATGAAACTCACCCGACACCGGGGTCATGGGAGTTGGTGGGAGGCTGTTGATGTTGAGCGCCCCCATCTGGTGGATCTGTGTGGCAGGGAAGGCCACGCTAGGCGTAAGATAACCGCCGTGGGTTGCTGCCATGATGGCTGCCTGCTGCTGCATGAGCTAAAGAAGATGGACATGGAGAGATGGGTGGAGGACAGGATGGAGAGAAGAAGGTGATGGGAAGAAAGATGGCGATGGAAAATAGCAAATGGCCAACGAGTCAGGAGGACATGTAAGAAGAGATAGAAGAGTGAAATATATCAAGGGTAGACAAGAGGGAGGGATGTATGGTGATGTTGATGGATGGATAGTGCATGGAAGTGCAAAGAAAGTAGAGCGGAATAAAAGAAAGAGAAGAAAAAGAAGCCTGTCAACCTATGTTTAGTGAATCTGCCCGTCCTCGCAGCAGGAAGCCTGTCACCAGCTGCAGAAACAATTTAATAGCTGTCTGTTGGGCTCATACAAATCAAGGCATTGACATGTGCATATTATCTCTGTGCTCAAGGGACAGGCAAAGTTTGCAGAGTTACAATGCCTTTTTTCCTAACAATTGTCAAACTTCACAATACTTTGCTCGGCTGCATAGAAATGCCAGAGTTGCCTCCTACTCTCATCTGCTATTTCATGGGCTCATGTTGAATTTTTCTTAAGAGTTTGTGATGATTACAACTCAAAGCTTGACTTTCAGTCATATCTTAACTTTTCCCCAATTTTGTAAATTATTTACCACATAGCTGTAAAAAGAGTTATTTTCTCTGAAAACACATTCTGTATGCAGAATATAATTTTTGTATCCAATATCCAATTTAGCAATTTCACTTTTCCTAAAATAGTCCATTTGTAAAGCATTGTAAAGTCCTGCTACACAATGAATTGTCAAGTACTGAATTCAAAATCAGTACTTTCCCTAACAGTTTAAGTAACTTCCATCAATAGTATCTCAAAAATTAAACTGACACTGCCTCAAAAACATATTCATAATCTGAAATGTTATCACCTTTTATACATAACTGTAAATGTCAGTTATTTTCTGGAATTTTAGAAAAGGAGAAAAACAGAAAATAACACAAAAAAGCAAGTAGAAAAACATATGTATCATCCAAAACCTTTAACAAATAAGTACCAGAACAATATATTGTAAGTAACTCCCAAACCATTTGGTTGGATAGGGAATACTGTCCACACAAAGCAACAGTGAAATCAATAATATTTAAAACCTGCTCCAAGACTTGCAAAGTTTAAAGCCATCTTCTGTAGCAGCTTTGTTTGTGAAACTCTAACTGCTTGAAAAGCTACAAATTGATGGGTTTAAATTAATACACTTAATACTCATGTGCCAACCTATGTCTGCTGCCTATTCTTACTGTTGTGTTCGCTGTTACGATACCATTTACCAAGATGGTTATAGTCAGCCTTCTATAACTCGGAGAACATTTACATGATTAAGGGACAAAGGTTTCAGCAGGACCTTGGGAAAAACAAACAAATTACTCTAACAGTGTCTTTTAATTTCTGTTTAAGAAAAAAACAGAAAGTAGCAGTTGATCTAGAAAGCTGCTGCCTGCATCCTCACTGAAACTAAAAAAGTAAAGCACAAAACAAGTTCTAAAGTCCTTACTTCAGCTCCCATATTCCAAAGAATATACTTTAATACTTCTTTTTATATTTCTTTTTAAGTATAAATCATTAGGTGGCTTACCACCACATTACAGATTTGTTTTCATTGTATCAATTCCCAAAAAGATACCCTATTAGGTCCATTCTATTCCATGAACCAGAACCAAAAATGGAGAAGCAGCATTTCGTTCTCATGCTTCACCTGTCTCAAACAAAACTTCCAGAAGTCTGTAAAAATGCAGAAACTCTAAGTTGCTTTAAATTGAGCTTATAAACCTAATTGTTTAGAGTTGCCTTTCAGCACTTTATTTAAAACAGTTACTGAAACATGATCAGTTTAAAGTCCATATTTTTTCTTTACCTGCCTTTGTCATGTCACTACAATGTACTTTCTTTTTTCTTTTAACGTGCCATTCCTGTACGGCACTATACGAGGTATTATTACTAAAATATATAATACAAATAAACTTGTCTTGCTATGTTTTTGCCATGTTATTCTTCCTGCAACACTTTCACACATAAACACAACCTGAAATTATTTAATTTGTGCTGCAGAGTTACTGTGTTACTCACAGGTGTGAGATAATTATTACAACGCCTGTTATAGCTCACCTGGGTGTGATCGGGATTTTAAGTGTTTGAACTTTTTGAGTACATATCTCGAAAACAACAACAGCACAATTAGTTGTACAAACAAATAAATGGAAACCATGCATCATTTTCCTATTATGCCAAAATTGTGCACAAAGTTCCCGTAAGATGTTTGGAAGTTTGGGTTTGTAACATGACAAAATGCAAAAAAAAAAAAAAAATCTTGGGGTTTGAATATATTTGCAAGGCTATAGTATCTGTATAAAAGGAAATTAAATAAAGCATATTATTTAGGCAAAGGCATATTTTTAACATACTATTATAACAAAAAAAATAAAATTTTAACGTATTATACTTTAATTTCCCTCTAACATTCCATTATAAGTATTTACTGTATTTCGCTAAGTAATCAGGTTAGAAAAATTGAGTTTCAAACTCAATTCAGGCCATGTTAGTAGTACCACGGTCTTACTGTGTTAATGTCTATTTGCTCTTGCTGGACAATCCAACAAAGTGATACAATCAATAGTCTTTCATCCCCTTTGCATTTCTGCTTAGCATGAACTGAGAAGTGAGAACTGAAGCCATTTCCCATCAAATGCAGCCCAAGGAGTGTTTATTCATATGCATAGGACATGCTCACATGCACCGCTGCTTTAAACCTCACTCGCTAACAAAGACAACCCCCCAACACACACACATACACACACACCACATGCATGAATAGTAATCTAGACTATTTTTGTGTCCTCTCTGCTTACATTTTTGTAGTGCAAAAAAACCAACAAAAAAAACAACACACATAAAAAAAAACAAAAAAAACAACAATAACAAAAAACACATTGACTGCCTAATTCAGAATAAAATCCATCATTATACTATGGGCTTTGCAGCTCGTAAAACAGTGGCTTTATCTGGGGAATCAATAATCTTTTGCAAGCTGTATAGCTGCCCATCAGGCAAGCAGACTTGTGTGGTATAGGAATAGAAACACAGCGGGCCGAACATCTTGCCCCCTTCTCTGCATCTGTTTAATACTGCATGGCTTGTGTGTGTCAGGGGAGCTGCTCATGGCTGCGGCCTGAGATCGCCTCATATGGCCAGAAATCAAATCTTACTGATGCTAATGATGCCAGTAGAGGTACAGACAGTTGCAGTTTTGTTTGTTGACATGGTGACAGAAAAGGCAGTTATTATATCTCCCTGAGTTCCTCTGTTAGGTAATTTTAAAGTGGCTGTCCTGTTGGAGAATGTCTCTTGCTGGAGTCCGTCGTAAGCTATATAAATTTAAACTGTTACTTTATTGTGGCTGTAGTTCTTTCTACAATGTCATCAATATCACAAATCCAGATCATTCCTTTCTAAAAAAATATTATTTAATCCTTTTAGAGACTAAAACAAAGAACATGCATGGGAAAATCACAAAACAACGCATTGTCATTGAAGTATACATACAGCCTGATCTTTAAAGATTCCAAATAAGGAGAGCTTAATTGCATATGTTAAAAAAAGTGTATAAAAATAATTAAAGTATATCATAAATGTGCAGATAGGTGATCTACATAGATTACATGCAAGAGGGGTAAAGCTTGCATAAAGACACGATCTGACCCATTCAATTTAAATGAATGAATAAAATGAGCTGTAAAGGAGAAGTGAAGTTCTAAGCTATGAAGATTCTGCTGATCCTGTATACATTAATTCCTTTGCACCTTTTATATAGACCAGCAAAAGAGTTTGCATGTGTTTTAACATGCACACCTTTTAAAGATCAGGTACCAAAATGTAGCAAAGGGACTAGGTAGGGATGAGCTATAGCTAAGTGTTTTTCTGTATATATATTTTGGATGTGGTTGGCGCTTATGTAAACAACCAACAGAATTTAGACTTGAGGGGACCTTTTGTTATTCTTTTCTTCTTTAAACTTAAACCCCTGAATCTGTGGATCAAAAAGTTTAAACCTAAATAGACAATACCCTTATTGTTTGAACGAGGGGTCAACAAAGGTGTTTTATTCATTTGTATCTGAAACAGAAAGGATTTTGCAACCCTATGTGTCTTTTGCCTTTAGTTATTATTACTGTGGACAAATCAAAACTCTTTGGCTTTTTAGTGTTTGCCATTGAATGTGGGCTCTTTGATCATCTGTAGATAATTCAAAAAATACCTCAACATTTTAATCTTCAATGAATAATTATACAGATAAAGAATATTATATAAATACATTTTTTGTGATATATGTATCTTATTTGAGATAATAAAAAGTAAAATGTGTTTTTTGTTGGAATCAGGACAGTATCTAGGATAAGTCTTAAAATTGCATTTTTAAGGTAAACCTTGAACAAACCAATTTGAATTTAGTAACTGTAAATTTGTGAAATTTGGCTTTTAAATCCAAAAAAGTGTGAAACTAAAAGGGAATTAATTGTTTATGAATAAATTATGATTAAAATCACTTGTCTTATGTTTTTAGAATGAATGTGTGCAGACACACCTATAGCTTGGTGCTTACACAAAAACTACCACTGTTTTGGTTTTGTTAACTTCTCCAAACTGTGAAAGTGAATGGAGTAAAAATCGAAGTGGGAGTAAATACTAGCGTGACCAGAATACCATCCTCTCTCCTAGCTCCAATTGTCTTAGATAATGCGGCTTGTAATGCCATCTGTCAGATTGTCATGGATAAAAACTCTTGTATTAATTGGCGCTTTGTTCCAAAATAAAATCCAGCAAATTGGAAACTCAAGCATGTAATTATGTTGGAATGCAGCAGTTAACACAATCTGACTTTAAAAAAAATCAAAGAGCAGTTATGTTGACTGAGAGGAAAAACTACTTTACTCCGTTTTCACTCCGTTCAGAGTTACAGTGTTCACATTTATTTTCTCCTCCCTCACAAATTCAAAGGCATT